CTGTAGTTATTATTTTGTTGTGTATTTCAGAACAGCTAGCAGAGAATTGGAATGTTACTAGTACAAAGAAGAGAGAAGTGTTTGAAGTGACAGATACCCTAATTACCCTGATTTGATTATTATACATCGTGTACATGTATCAAAATATCACATATACCCCAAAAATACATACAACTGTTATACATCAGTTTTTAAAAAAGAAAAAGTTATTATGTAATGACCGTGTACTGTTGGTAATACTTTTCTGTTGTTAATAATGAAGACCAGTGACCTAACAGGAATTTTAGAACTTTCACAGTTTAAACCTGTGTATCATAATGTTTTGAAAATATCAGTTATACTTTATTATTTTAAGAGAATGCTAGTTGAAGGGAAGATAATCTTATTTGGCCCTCTTGTACTGAGTGACTTTAGCATTTTATTTATTTTTAATTTTTAATTTTTTGAGATGGGGGCTGGCTGTTTTGGCCAGGTTAGTCTTGAACTCATGGCCTCAAGCAATCCTCCTGTCTCAGCATCCTAGTGGGCTAGGATTACGGGCACGAGCCGCTGTGCCTGGCTTAGCATTTTATTTATGAAGTGTTTTAACAGGAAAACCAAGATAATTTTTATATACCTATAGACTTGTGAAATAAGAAGGAAGCTCTGAAAATTATGTTGTTTAATTTGTATCCAGTTCAGTTCAGGAAAACTTCAGTGGGCATATGCTAGGTGGGAAGTGCCATGAATTATGTTTCTTTCTGAGCTCATTTAGTAAGGGGCATTAGAGCCTGTTCAGGTTATTTCCATATAAGACAACCTGAAATAGTGTGGTAGAGGTATGAAGTACAGTGGGAAAATGTTAAAACAGTTTATTCTGGGAAGATATTGGGTTTGATAAAGCTTCTTTTAACTTTTTATAATTTCTACTGCCTTGAAACCAAATGCAATCTCCTGGCTACCTTTTAGCCCCTCAGCCGTAGTCTACATCCTGAATAACTGGTTTGATCTTTTATTGTAACTGGGTTCTTACCCTCTTTTCTAGTCAAGCAACTTATGATGTCTGGTATAGGATGGTTACTAAATTCTTATGCAGGAGATTCAACAACAGCTGAGACTTAAAAATAGCCATTAGCAACTCCTTTAATCATTAACATGGACCAAAAATGTAGAGGAGAAAAAGTTTAAATATATGTGGAGAATGGAGAGGAGTATATAGATAACTTCTAAATTTATCATAGAAGCTTTGTTTCCAGTCTATTTATAGGCTTCTATTTTTACTTCCTGAGTTTAGAGAAGTTAGGAGTTGGAAAATTGCAACTCCTTAAGGAAAAAAGAAAAGCCATATTCTCTGTCCTGTAGGCAGTGGTCCCCACCCAACCTTTTTGGCACCAGGGACTGGTTTTGTGGAAGACAATTTTTCCACCAACAGGGGTGGGAGGAGGATGGTTTCTGGTTGATTCAAGTGCATTACATTTATTGTGCACTTTATTTCTATTATTACATTGTAATATATAATGAAATACACAGCTCACCATAATGTAGACACAATGGGAGCCCTGAGCTTGTTTTCCTGCAAGTAGACAGTCCCCTTTGGTGGTGATGGGAGACAGTGACAGATCGTCAAGCATTGGGTTCTCATAAGAATCGTGCGACCTAGATCCCTCATTTTCACACCTCACAATAGGATTTGCGCTCCTATGAGAATCTAATGCCGCCGCTGATCTGACAGGAAGTGGAACTCAGGCAGTAATGGGAGTGATGGGGAGCGGCTGTAAGTACAGATGCAGCTTTGCTTGCTTGCCCACTGCTCACCTCCTGCTATGCAGCCTGGTTCCCAATAGGCTACAAACCGCTACTAGACCTGGGCTGGGGACCCCCGCTGTAGACCTTTTACATGCTTGGAAGACCTTGTCTTGACGAATACTTTGTCCTTTGAATAACTCAAAACTTTTCTAGGAAGTCGTTCCTGTAATTTTTCAATGGATTATTAAATCCTGGGTGTATCCACACTGAATTATGATTGCTTGTTGTATTTGTGTAGACCAGTGTTTCTCAACTGGGGCCTCCCAGGGACATTTGGCAATGTCTGGATGCATATTTGGTTTTCACAGTAAAGCGGGTGCTACTGGCATCTCGTGTGAAGAGATCAAGTGCTGCTGCTTTTTAGTTTTTATGAAAGTGAATGTAGTACAGAATATAATATTGGTTGTCCATTTCCCATTATTGTTTACTTTCCATGGTAATGCAGATTTTCGTGAGTGGCTATTATCCACTTAATTTTCTACTTGTGACATAGGCCTCTAAAAATGTGTGGATTAAGAATAAAAGAATATTCCTGAATAATAATTTTAGATGCACGTTAGAATGCTTTCAGGGAAAATAAGGGTGATACACTATTGAAGTATCTGAATTCCATGCATTTATTAAAACTCAAAATATATTTGTGTTGGTCTGGTGAAGAAGCTTTTTATAGCATTGGTATTACTACTTTAGTTCTATATGAAGTTTTCAAACTATTGCATTATAGTAGAAACAGCCTTTCATTTTATTTTGAGCGTGCTGCATATCTTGTTACTGAGCAAACATATGAGCTGGGTATTTAGGTGTTTGAGAAATTAAGCCAGTTCCTGCTTTCAGAACAGCTCAGAGAGAGGGGAAAATGGCATAACTCCATATAGACAGTGCGGTAGTATATATAGAAAGTACTGGGGAGAGTTGAGGAGGAGAAGGCATTCAAGCTGTTTCAAAACTACCAGCCTAATCATAGGGGATAGGTTTTACAGGTAGAGGAAATAGTTTGCGTAAAAAGTAAAGAGGCATAAAAGAGCATGAAATTTGTGAGTCACTGTGCATACTTATAGTTTACAGTGCTTGAGGAGAAGGGAGTGTTCAGAGATCATTTTCAGAAAAAGGTTAAAACCATGACTCTCATACAGATATAAAACAAAAATGAATGTGACCGGGTGCGGTGGCTCACGCCTGTAATCCCAGCACTTTGGGAGGCTGAGGCAGGCCGATTACTTGAGGTCAGGAGTTCAAGACCCACCTGGCCAATATGTTGAAACCCCATCTCTACTAAAAATACAAAATTTAGCTGGGCATGATGGTGGACACCTGTAATCCCAGCTACTTGGGAGGCTGAGGCAGGAGAATTGCTTGGTCTTGCCACTACACTGCAGCTTGGGCAATAGAGTGAAACTTCATTTCAGGGGGGAAAAACAAAAAAAGAATGCTAAAATCATTCAAACACATGTTATAGCAGTTCAAATGTAAACTTTTAAACAGCACACATTTGTATGAAGTAATGGAATGTTGAAATAAGTTGTAAATGGTAGCAAAGTTGTTTTTTTTCCATAAAAGGGGAAAGAAGTCAATGAATTTCTACCAGATAGGATAGAAATTGCATGTTTGTCACTTGACTACAATTTATAGATTTATGGAATAGCTCCCGTGGAATCAATCTGACAGTGAGTAGTTTTCCATTGGAGTGCAGTTGTTTTTTTTTTTCTATAGGGAGAGCAGGAAATTGGAAAGCACCTTCCAGTGTTCTACCAAAGAATCTGTACTGTATATAATAGGGAGTCAACAAAGTTTTTGGATTTGGAGAATGAAACCAGGCTGTGTTTTAGATGAAACAGTTGAGGTGGCAGCGTATAGGATTAATTGAATGAGGGAGCAATCAGTGCAGTTAGGCTGTTGCAGTAGCAGTAAGAGGGAAGAGGAGGGACAGATCGATTGTACATTAGGAATTAGAATCTTTAAAACTTACTAGGCATAGGCAAGGCAATGAGAAGAGACAAGGCTTCTGGCTTAAGCAATTGTAAGGATAGTGGGTCATTTTACTGAGAAAGGGGGCCTGTAAGAGGAAAAGCAGTGTTAGGGGAAAAACAAAGAGAGTGTTTGGACATTTGCCTTTTGAGATGATACAGCATACCAAGGTGGAAATGTTCCTTATGCAGTTATAAGCCATAAGTTTGGAACTAAGAAGGATTGTGGGCTAAAGATTTCAGTCTGGAATCATCATTTAAATCGGAATTTATATTAGAATAAGTAACATCAACCAGTTGCCTAGGGAGAAAATACAGAGAAGAGGAAAAAGACCAAGAACCCTGGGAACATCTTTATTTGCATGGTCCTAAAGAACAATTATGGTGTATATCTCAGGGGCATTATAATATGGTTGTCAGTCTTTTAATTCTTAATAACAACAGCTTTTCAGCTTTAATTTTATCTTTCATTGGCATCTGAAACCATATTTTTTCTTAGGTTGTGGCCTGTTTGTAGACTAGCAGGAGAACTTTGAATAAAAATTTCTTATTCATGTGTCATTTTAGCGATATACTCCCTCATTTTAGATTTCAAGTTGAGAAAGACTTGGTTTGGAGCTATGCACTAGTGTGAAAAGTGAGATCACCAGTGGACAGAGAAGAAAGAGGAACTCACCCTTAGGTGTCTTACAATACTGTCTTTAAAGCATTGTGGATTTCTGTAATTACATCTTGTACCAAATGCATTTCGGACTCATTGAGGGCTAAGGGCTGAGGGCTATGCTGCTTTGCTCTGCTATTTAGGATTATTGTATAGCTAAGTTTGAATGGATTCTACTGTTTAGTAATTGAGGGGAAGAGAAGCCTACATTATTTGTGTTCCCATTTTACCTTTCTTCACAATTTCATGGTCAATGTATCATTTCCTCTGTGTTGAAGGAATATAATGACCCTATGTTTTCCTCGGAGTTTTTTCTTCAAGTTCATTTTGACGTAGAAACACCTCCCTCACCGCTATCACCACCATGTAGGAAGGAAGTACAGTTTTAGGTTATTAAATCTACTTATTTAGTTTTTTAAAAATGTATATATATATAGATGTATTCTAAACTATAAAATCTGTTTAGAGGATTTTGTGGTTAAAATTTGTTTGAAAAAGCTTTTTAAACTGGCATTTTTATATTTAATAGCATTTGCAGTTTTAAATTCAGAGAAACATTGAAAAATTTTACTTTCGTTTTTTCTTTTTAGATCATCCAATTATGATGGGTTTTGAACCCCTTGTGAACCAGAGGCTACTTCCACCTACCTTCCCTCGATATGCAAAAATAATTAAAAGAGAAGAAATGGTCAGCTATTTTGCAAGATTAATAGATAGAATAAAAACTGTCTGTGAGGTTGTGAATTTAACAAATTTACATTGTATCCTGGTAAGTACAAATCTCTGTTCCTGAATATAACTTCCATTTAAAAAAATGGATACATAATAATTGTACATATTTATGGGGTAGCTTTGGTTTAACAACAGAATAGTTGATCACTTTATAGATACTGACCAAGGGTAAATACTACTCTTTGTCTATTTTCTGTGATAGCTAGAGGATTAAGTGGTTCATAAATATACATACATACATTCTATTTAATCCTCAAAGGTTTTACACTATTTTAGAGATTAAGAAGCTGACATTGAAAGGTTAGATAATTCATCCAAGATTTGTTTTGAGACAGGATCTCACTCTGTTGTCTAGGCTGGAGCGCAGTGGTGTAATCTTGGCTCAAAGCGATCTTGAACTCTTTTTTTTTTTTTTTTTTGTGGAGATGGAGGACTTGATCTGTCACCTAGGTGACAGAGCAGTGGCACGATCTCAGCTCACTACAGCCTTGACCTTCTTGGCTCAAGCGATCCTTCTGCTTCTCAGCCTCCCAAGAAGCTGGGACCACAGGCGTGTGCCACCACGCCCAACAATATTTTAGTTTAATCATTATTTTTGTAGAGATGGGGTCTCACTATGTTACCCAGGCTGGTCTTGAACTCCTGGGTTCAAGCAGTCCTCCCACTTCTGCCTCCCAAAATGCTGGGTATGCAGGTGAGAGCTACTGTGCTCTGCCAACTTTGAACTCTTGAGGTCAGGTGATCCTCCCACTTCAGCCTCCCAAGTAGCTGGGAGAGACACATACCACTAGAGCTGGCTAAATTTTTTTTTTTTGGAGATGGGGTTTCCCTCTGTTGCCCAGGCTGGAGTGCAGTGGTGTGATCTCGGCTCCCTGCAACCTCTGCCTCCCAGACTCAAGCTGTCATTCCACATCAGCCTCCCAAGTAGCTGAGGCTGCAAGCGTGTGCCACCATGCATGGCTAATTTTTTGTATTTTTGGTAGAGATAGGGTTTCACCATTTGCCCAGGCTCGTCTCTGACTCCTGAGCTCAAGTGATCCACCTGCTTCAGCCTCCCAAAGGGCTAGGATTACAGGTGTGAGTCACTGCACCCAGTCAACTTTTAAATTTTTATTTATTGTGGAGACAAGGTCTCACCGTGCTGCCCAGGCTGGTCTCAAACTCTTGGACTCAAGCAGTCCTTCCATCTTGGGCTCCCAAAGTGCCAGGATTATAGGCATGGGCCAGTGCACTTGGCCTCACCTTCGTCTTAAGAGTGGGGATTGAACTCTGGATTCTGTCTTCAAAACATATAAATGTGTAATATGTATGCTGGTATACGTAAACATATGTATTTAAGTGTGTGTGTGTTTATATATAAATATATATATGTATATATGTGTATAATTTTTATATATATATAATTTTTTTTTTTGAGATGGAGTCTTGCTCTGTTACCCAGGGTGGAGTGCAGTGGCACGATCTCGGCTCACTGGAAGCTCCAACTCCCAGGTTCACGCCATACTCCTGCCTCAGCATCCTGAGTAGCTGGGACTACTGGCGCCCGCCACCACGCCCAGCTGATTTTTTGTATTTTTAGTAGAGACGGGGTTTCCTTGTGTTAGGCAGGATGGTCTCGATCTGCTGACCTCGTGATCCGCCCGCCTCGGACTCACAAAGTGCTGGGATTACAGGCATGAGCCACCGTGCCAGGTCTTAAGTGTGTATATATATACTTTTACATATAAAAATAGGATCATGATGTTTGGTAACCTGCTTTTTAAAATTGCTTGTCTCTGTATCATGGACATCTTCCTTTCCATGTCAACAAATACATGACAAATTCTACATTATTTTAATGGCTGTGTGGTATTCCATTTTAAGCATATATTACAGGTTTTTTCATTTCATTCATTTAAATTACATTTAGGTAATTTTCAGTGTTACAAACAATACTAAGATGAACATATGTATAGGTAAATCTTTTTATTATATGCTTCCTTTCCCCTTAAGATAAATTCCTAAAAAACGAAGCTGCTAGGTACATTTTTAACTATCATATTTTGGATTAATATTTTTTATGGGTTAATATGTAGAAAAACAGGGCTCATTTTAAGAACATTCAGAGATGGAGCTTTTTTTTTGTTTTTTGTTTTTTTCTCCTGTACCTGCTGACAGCAGAAAAGCTTTTTAATTAGTACGGTTATAGTAGCACATGTAAGGTTAGTAGGAAAGGTAGAAAATGTGCAAGACAGTACTGTTGTTCTGAGGACGTAAGTACACTGACGTCTGTGGCATAGCTAGGCATTTGAGTGTTACCTTACACGCCGAGGTACGGAATTGCCAGCCCCATGTCATTTCCTCTGTGAAATCTTCCCTTGGTTGCTGGTTGCCACTGTACCTGTGTTCCTTGAGATCACACAGTATATAGTTTATACTCCCAGCATTTAGCAGCAGTCTCTGGGAAATAGTTGATAGTAAAGATTTGTGCTTTTGTTTATGTTCTTTATTTTTCCTTCTATTAATTTTTTTGTCATTAAAACCCAGCTTAAGTCTTCATTCTTTTAATAAACTTTCACTCATTATGCCTTTAATACCTTACGTTGCATTTGCTTTCTTATACTGTGTTATAAGAATCAGAATTTTAAAAGTTCCTAGGAAAAAGATCACAGACAGTTTTACATCTAAACAAACTAAGGTTCAGAGGTTCTAAAGTAACCAAATTAGATGACTATAATAGCATATCTGGAATGAGAATATATATTTTCTTACTCTTTTCTGCCACATTGACTTTTTTTTATCGTAATTGTTACATGGATATACATTTGTGTTCACTAGATTAATTGCAAGGTCTTTAGGTAAAATCAACCTATAAACCCATATCAACCATAAGGTAATATTTTTTAATGTATATGGTTGTTTTACCAGTTGTGTCGGTAGGCAAACGGACTTTAAAATATTTTTTTTAGTAAGCAACAGGGCTGACTTGGGTTGTGACAGGCTCCTGATATTGAAGGCTAAGTTGTCTGCCATTATTGTCGGTCAATTTCGCTGAGCCCTCTGAGGAAACCATGGCCCATTGCAGATACCTTAGGGGGACCCACATTGGTTCTAACCAAGGGTAGGTAGCTGAGGCATTGTCAGTGATCCTTTAGACTTTTCTCAGCAAGCTGCAGGATTTCTTAATAAAGAGCTTGATCACATAGATGCCTGAATAGGCATTTATTCTGGTTTCGGTTTCTGAAGAGCTGCTATCCCAAGCCCAAATAGTTATCATTAACAAATCCAAGTATTAAAATACATACATTACTATTTAACTATAAAATTTGGAAGATGCAGAGAACTGTGAAGATGATAAATAACTGCTGTCCCACCCTTTATAGATGTTAGCATTTCAGTGTATTTTGTCATCTGGTTTTACATCTACATATAAACCTGTATCTCTTCATTTTTAGATAAATTTCTTTAAAAACAATTTTATGTTTGGGGGTACATATGAAGGTTTGTTGCATAAATAAACACGCATCTCAGGGGTTTGTTGTACGTATTATTACATCACCCATGTATTAAGCTCAGTACCCAATACTTATCTTTTCTGCTCTTCTCCCTCCTCCTACCCTCCCCACTCAAGTAGATCCCAGTGTCTGTTGTTTCCTTCTTTGTGTTCATAAGTTCTTACCATTTAGCTCTCACTTGTAAGTGAGAACATGCAGGATTTGGTTTCTCTTCCTGCATTAGTTTGCTAAGGATGATAGCCTTCAGCTGTATCCATGTTCCCACAAAAGACACGATCTCGTTCTTTTTTATGGCTGCATAATATTCCATGGTGTATATGTAACACAATTTCTTTCTTTCTTTTCTTTTCTTTTTTTTTTTTTTGAGACAGAGTTTCGCTCTTGTTGCTGAGGCTGGAGTGCAATGGCATGATCTCGGCTCACTGCAACCTCTGCCTCCTGGGTTCAAGCGATTCTTCTGCCTCAGCCTCCCACGTAGCTGGGATTTAGCTGGGATTACAGGTGTGCCCCACCATGCCTGGCTAATTTTTGTGTTTTTAGTAGAGACACGGTTTCATCATGTTGGCCAGGTTGGTCTCGAACTCCTGACCTCAGGTGATTGGCCTGCTTCGGACTCCCAAAGTGCTGGAATTATAGGTGAGAGCCACTGCTCCTGGCCGTACCACAATTTTTTTATCCAGTCTGTCACTGATGGGCATTTAGGTTGATTCCATGTCTTCGCTGTTGTGAACAGTGCTGCAGTAAACATTCGTGTGCATGTGTCTTTGTGGTAGAATGCTTTGTATTCCTGTGGGTACATACCTAGTAATGGGACCGCTGGGTCAAATGGCGGTTCTGCTTTTAGCTCTTTGAGGAATTGCCATACTGCTTTCCACAATGGCTGGACTAATTTATACTCCTACCAACAGTGTATAAGAGTTCCCTTTTCTTTCCAACCTCACCAGCATCTGTTACTTTTTGATTTTTCAATTGCCATTCTGACTGCTGTGAGGTGGTATCTCGTGGTTTTGATTTGCATTTCTCTAATGATAAGTGATATTGAACTTTTTTTCATATGCATGTTGGCTGCACGTATGTCTTCTTTTGAGAAGTATCTATTCATGTCCTTTGTCCACTTTTTAATGGGGTTGTTTTTCTCTTGTAAATTTAAGTTCCATATAGATGCTGGATATTAGACCTTTGTCAGATGCATAGTTTGCAGATATTTTCTCCCATTCTGTAGGTTGTCTGTTTACAGTTTCGTTTGCTCTGCAGAAGCTCTTAAGTTTAATTGGAACCCGTTTGTCAATTTTTGCTTTTGTTGTGATTGCTTTTGGTGTCTTTCTCATGAAATCTTTGCCTGTTCCTCGGACCAGGGTGATATTGCCTAAGTTTCCTTCCAGGATTTTTATAGTTTTGGGTTTTACATTTAAGTATTTAATGTAAAAAATAATAATTAAAAAAAATACTTGAGTTGATTTTGTATATGATGTAAGGGGTCCAGCTTCAGTCTTCTGCGTTATGGCTCAGTTATTCTAGCACCATTTATTGAGTAGGGAGTTTTTTCCCTATTGCTTGTTTTTGTCAACTTTGTCAAAGATCAGATGGTTGTAGATTAGTGGCCTTATTTCTGGGCTCTCTATTCTGTTCCATTGGTCTATGTGTCTGTTTTTGTACCAGCCAGTACCATGCTGTTTTGGTCATTGTAACCTTATAGCATAGTTTGAAGTCAGGTAATGTGATTCTTCCAGCTTTGTTCCTTTCGCTTATGAATGCCTTGACTATTCAGCCTCTTTTTTGGTTCCATATAAATTTTAAAATAATTTTTTCTAGTTCTATGAAGAATGTCATTGATAGTTTGATAGGAATAACATTGAATCTGTAAATTGCTTTGGGCAGTATAGCCATTTTAATTATATTGATTCTTCCTGTCCATGAGTGTGGGATGTTTTTCCATTTGTTTGTGTCTCCTCTGATTTCTTTGAGCAGTGTTTTGTAATTCTCATTGTAGAGATTTTTTTACCTCCCTGGTTTGCTGTATTCCTAGGTGTTTTTTTTTTTTTTTAATGGCAAATGTGAATGGGA